CAGATGAGAATTCTGGCTCCCCTCCTCAACTACTGTATAGCCAAGCAAGGCAACTGGTGCCTCCCCTCCCCAACTACTGGCTAGCAGAAAGCAGGTTGTCCAATTCCTCATCATTACATTGGCCACCTTTTCCTTTAGGAAAATATATTTGTGTGTGCTGTCTATTGCTCCCATCCATTCATAGACAATGCCTCATTGCCTGATCTATCAAATTAATCATTGTTAAATATGATTTCAGTCAAGGTAAAGGAACCTGGTTAGAATGTGATTCATTTTTATAGCATTAATAGGACATTGCATCTCAGATTTATTCTAAAGCTTTACATATATAAAACAAAACAAAAACTTCAGCTGTGCTCAAGGTATCACAATAATCACCCTTCATTATATAGGCAAAATTACTTTGAACCATGAATAGCAAGGTACAATATATAATCTGTAGAAAAAAAAAAGAAGTTTCCAAGTTCCAGAAGTTTAAAGCATTACACAATTCCACTAGAAAAAAAGGAGATGGGGTGATCAAGACATCTAGAATTAACTCCTCATACTTAAACAATGCAAACAGTTGGCTTGTAAAACATATTGCCTGTAATATTAAGTATTGTCTGATGTAGGAAGGCAGACAAGCAGGATCCTCTTTTGATCCTTCTGAATTACAGGAAGAACTACATTCAATAGCATCCTTAACAGCTGTACTTCAGCTCTACTGAAGTGTGTTAAAAGTAAGAAAGAATACATCACAGCAGTCCTAGAGCTAATGGTTTCCACTGTATTGCCATTGTAGAAATTTTCAAGGATTTTAAATTTCATCAGGCCAAGCCTGGGCATAGCAAACAATAATGATGATTAATTTTACACAACTTTTAACAAAATACCTCTTTAAATAAGATGACAACTAAAGCAACAAGATACACCTTTTCCATTTTTGCTTTTAAAAACATGTCTAGGTAAAGCGCTGAACATATGCACATTTAAAGAAAGGGAAGATACAAATAACTGTGCCTTTCAGGTCTTATTGGACCCCTGCAAGTTCAAAATATTTTTGTTTGATTTACCTTCAGGCCTTGCCCTGAGAATAAGTCTAGAAGAACAAATGAGAATTGCACTGTAATTTCAGGGTTGGAGTATTCAGGCTTTAGCACACTGAGGCGGGAGTCTCCTGGCATCAGTGATCTTCCAGAGAAAGCGCCCTGCTTTTTTGTGCATCTCATGATTAAACCAAACACCATCTATTAGTAGGCAACAGATAATTTGGCCCAAATCGGGGACAGTGATTTGATTCATATCACTGTCCCCGATTCAATTCAACTGAATCCGAATCCGAAGATTCAATGCTGATTTGGAGAATCAGCAATTTGGCCATAGACACAGCTTTAAATGTTTTTTCTACATACCTCGCAATGCTGGGGCAGATAGAGTGTCCCACAGGAGTGCAGGGGGCCCCCCCACATGCTTGGCAGCGAACATGGAAGTGGACCGGAAGTACTTCTGGTCCATGTCCGGGTCTGCCGGGGAGCATGTTAGGGGGGCCCCTCTGAGGCTCAGCAATCATCCATGGGGGGACCCCGGGTGCCTCCTCAGAGCCAGGAGGCACCAGTCACCAAGCCAGGGGGGTACAGGGGACCCCCACGCATTGGGGAGCCCACCACGCTTCTGTGGGATGCTTCATCTGCCCCACCATCACAGCATTCATGAGCTGCCTGGTACCTAGAGATATGTAGAAAAAACATTTAAAGCTGTGTCTATGTCCAAATCACTGAATCTCTCCAAATTGGTTTGGAGGGTTCTGATTCAATTTGGAGAGATTGAAGGGTCCTTTGATTTGATTTGGAGATTCGGCCACCGAATCGAGCTGAACCTCTGCTGAATCGAATCAGGGACTGAAGCTTTGCACAGCCCTAATGTCCAGCCAGTTAACGTAAGTGTACTGATGATTCTTACCAGAAGTTAAGGCATCTTATACCAACACCAAAGTCTTTTTACACGTTTGGTAAAGCAGTGGTTCCCAACCTTTTTTATACTGCCAACAGGCAAACTCAAAAGAATTTTGGAAGATCAAGTATAGAAGTGATCTAATTACATATTTAAATATATGAATTTGAATATGTAAAAATTACATTTTGGTCCACCTCCCCACCCTCCGTCCCGTGTATTTCCCCACCTGTATCCCCCCACGGGTGGGGCTGGGGAATTCTGCCTGGCCTGGTGTGGGCTCTGGTACCTGCACCTCGCTGGGTGCAGCCAAGGTGGTGGGAGGGGGCCAGGGTGCATGGAGCCAGCTGCCTCCTTCCCAGGGCTGCCCTGCCACCCAGCTTTAACCCAACATGTGACTGCCGATGACATGATGTGCCATGGCCTGGCAGTCAACCCTCTGTAGTCCGGTGGTTGGGAACCTCTGTGGTGAAAAACTATGCAGTCTATACAACTGGTGCACTATGGCAGTGTATAGTTCATTATGGCAATCTACTATATCACTGCTTAAACAGGCCACAGAACAGTTTGGAGCCAGTATACATGTGTGACATAACCAAAAGGATCCATCTAACCAATCAGAAAAATATTTGTAGGTAATCAGCATAAAGAAATATGGTCTAGAAGACTGGACTACATTTTCTAGACTAGAGAATATTTTCCCTCTTCCTCCTCACCACCCAGAATTTGCCCCAATGGAAAGGAAATATGTATACCCATAAATAGCTCTTAGAGTTACTTTAAGATTCTCTACAAACAAAGCTCATTTATATATTACCTGAATGAAGAAAGTAACCATTTTCCATGTCTATTTTCTAAAATTTATCTCGTTGTTACTCATCCTGGATGTAAGGTTTGTCAATAATTTCATTTTATGACACAGGAAAAGCTACTTTGACTCTATGCTACTTCTGCAGGAAACTTCTAGAGGTGATTGGGAGGAACTGTCATTTCCCTGTCTCTTACACAAGCCTCATGATTATTTTGATGAAGATTCATCTTGATAAGCTAATGGACTCTCACATACGCAGGTATGAACATGGATAAGTGTGTTGGTATATGTGGATAGGTAAACTGATCTTGAAGACATGACCTGAAAAAAAGGCCCAAGGAAGGGTTGTTATTTAGGCTGTGCCTTGCTGAGGGGCTGTCCAAAATTGACAGAAAATTGCTTTCAAGGAATTAAAAACTATTCACTTTTTTCTCTGTGTAACCAAGCTAAAAATACATAATTTAATTTAACTTACAAGAAGTATAAATGCAGGCATGTTTAGCAGTTGTTTTTCTAAGTCTGTTTTAATTAACTTTTTTTTTTTTAAATAGGATTTCTATTTATATGGGGAATTTCCAGGAGACTTCCTCAAAAAAGAGGATCAGAAGCGCTGAAGGAAGAAAGACTTTGTGGAACCTACACTCCTTTCCCAATCAATGAACTGGGGTGGAGGAGTCTGCTCTCAGCGTTGCATCGCCATGAGGTTGTGGGAGGTAAACAAAAGTGCGACCCTGAAAGACCAGGACAAGTATTGAGAGTAATGGCCAGTCACACTTAACAAGTTGGTTCAATATAGCTAACAATGGGGTTTTCGACTTCGACCTTTCTTCTGAAGGGTTTACTGTGCCTGAATGTGGATGGGGAAAGTTTCTTGTTTGTAGGAGTGTTGGAAGCACATACTTACCAAAAAAAATAGCATGAGTTTCAATTCAACACAGGACAGAAGGTGTCTGGGATATGTGTTGAGTCCTCACAATGCTTAGCCACACTAGCTTCACCTTCTCCAACAGCAATGCCAACTGCTAGAGCAGCTAGACCAGCTTCAGGCAGTCTGGCAGAGCAGGGATTATGGATGACTTAAAAGTTCTGTCAAGGCAGGCTTCTCCCTCTGCTGTTGAAACCTTGGTAAAACTGAAATCTCTAAGATTAGAGTCAAGCTTATGATTTTTAATGGGAATTTGCATGTTAAGATATGTAATAAAATTAGCCATGTTGACATTTTATAATGATAATAGAAACAGCAGTAAAGAAAACCATGCAACTTACAAACCTTTTGAATAATTAAAAGTATTCCAAGATCCTCAGAGTGAGGCACAATAGATGGGGAAATATCAACATACATCGCTGGCCACTGACTGCTGTTACCGAAAACCTGTTCAGTTACATGGTGGGGGTCTGGAACCAAAGGAAATAGGACTCTTGTGTGTTGTGCTATTACAACATGCATAGTGTATACATACATGAAAAATAAGATGCAGTTCTCAATTGAGCCAATCCCTAGGGCAGGGGTGTCCAAACTTCTCAAAGATGAACTACAGTAGCATTCAATACAGATCATCTCCTTGATTCATATTTTTTCTCCCTATTCCTACGAATTAATGTGTTTCCTTAGGTTCTGAAATGTATTTAACACGCCGATCCATAAATAAAAAAGAAATTACACAACAGGAAACAGTGAAAGAGCAATGTTTCTAACTTCACATCTCATGCTGTAGTTTCAGAATCATGTCTTTTTGTGCATATAGGCTTTAATTTAGGTGGCTCAGAAATGCAATTGTGTGGTGCAGGTTGTATAGCTTGAATTTTTCTGCTACCCTGTTGTTCATTTCATTCTGACAATGTGCTCTTGGGAATTCTTGTCATAGGCTTTCGAAGTACTTCAGACACCTGATAAATCAACATTACAGAATACCTTTAAAACCTGGGTGAATCATCTGAAAGAAACTTCCCTTAAAAATATACACTTGTGAGGGTTCCTTGTATGAGACTTGCATTGCTATATCAGATGTGTTTTCTCAACCCAATGTGTTATCCTCAAACACTCTCAAATTTGCACACAAGCTGCAGATGTACACAATTTGATAGCAAAATATAATCTGCAGTGTGCCACACTGCATTTTTCTCGCAAAATAGAAGCAATAAAATTTTTGCTAGAATGGGAAACAAGGAATAAGATTAACTTTGTAGGTGTAACTAGGCTCAGATTGTACAAAAAGGCAAGCAATTCTCTGCTTCATAATTATCATGTTTTCCTCACAGAATCTTTACAACAATGGCTTTCAAACAACAACTTTTCACATGCAGCTATTATCACTCCCTAAATATTTCTAGAGTCTCAGGTACATTGTTTCAAACAACAGTCTAAAGACTGAATATTATTATGAGGAAGTTACTGTTGAAGGACAAAGAGCCTATCAAGGCCCCGATTCAGCAGAATAATTAAACATATATATTACTGTACGCTTAAAGCCTCTGCTTCAGCATTCTGTTGATCTGGTGTTGTAAGTCCTTTTTCTCCTGCAGCACTAAGACATTGTAATCAAGTTGCAGGTCTTTGGCACAGTTGCATTTAAATACAGGAAACACCAGATAAACTCGTTTTTTCTTCTTGTAGAGGTTCTGAAATTAAACACTTTATTGGTTCGTAGAAGACAATTAAAAACAACAAAAATTTCCCCATAACATTTCATAAAAACTAAAATGACTTTTAAAAGAGCGTATGAAATAAAAACCAACACCCTCACATGGTACCACTAACAAAAGAAACACATTTTTTTTTTCTTTTCCTTTTTTGCTAAAAGAGAGATTATGATTATGTATTTGATGTCAACAGGTGCACTTCATTCATCATCTGCATGAAACTAGGTTAGGTCTCCATAGGCCACAGTCAGAGTTATTAAGTAAGTAAATATGCCACCGCTTCCGTGCCTTCCTTTTATTTCCTGGCTTCTTCGGTCTCATCTGGCTCTTTCTCTTGATGCTCTCTTTCCCACCTCATTTCTTTCAACTCTTGTCTGTATTTCCGTTCAATGAACCGTTTCTGATGGGCCATCTGGGGAAAGTTATCTGACATGGGGAGAAATATTTTACATTAATAAGAGGAGGAGAGAGAACAGGGGATGCTTCAATTCTTATTTTATTTTTCACTTTTATGAGATGGGAGGGTGGAGAGTTGCATTATTTTCACTGTGCCTCATTCATATGTCCTGCATCATAAGGCCTTAGTTTAAAGATGATTTCAACATTTGTTTCCTCTGCTACAGAGCACTGCTAATTCTGATGCACTCAGAAATAGTATAAAATGCTGACATAGGAAAATGGACAAGCAATACTTGAATTTCATATTTTGTTTCTTAGGTAACAGGTGGCCAATACTGGAAAAATAAAGTGAGAATATATTCAACACATTCTCAGCAGGGTTTTTTTGTTTGTTTTTTAGTTTCTCATTCTTTCTAAGCTTTGTACAGATGTTCATATTACCATGATCATTTTTATTTAGAGCAAACAAACACAGGCTAGATGGCCAGAATAATCTCAGTGTTCACAATAGGAAAATGACAGCATAGCGCTGAGTTAATGTAACTGCATTTAAAACCACTCTCAAGATGCAGCAAGTTAAGCCACAGTTCTGTGGGTATAATGATATTTAGATGAATACTGTGACCTGGATAATTGGTATTTGGCCAAAGATCAATTCAGCCAAGACCAACCTGCTAAGGGTGGACTGCGAGTAAACAGCTGGAGGAGACAGCAGAGATGATATCAACCCTTCTGATTAAAGGCATTTGTCTGTCAATAGTCATCTAGGTTCTCAATTTCGAGCTGGAGCTTTTATAAAATCATTTTACAAAACTGACTAGAATAGTCTTCAATTACCATGAGAGTATAGCTGGGAGGATGTGACCTTACTGTTCTCCATCCATGCCTTTGTGACCTAGACTATAGCAGTGTGTTCTATCAGGGCCTATGCCCTGCATATGTTCATAAATGATACAAGAAAATAGAATCCAGCGGCATATAGCCAGCAGTGAATCTCACTGGGCTCATATGGTTGTAGTGTTCTGGGATTTGCATTGCATTCTATGTCTAGGATGAATTTGAAGATATTAATTTTGACATATAAAGCCCTAAACCAGCCTTGGACATATCTGCACCTGACAGAATGTTTCTCTTTCTGGATAATGCTACCACAACATGATGTCCAGAGAGGCACTCAAGGAGAGCTTCATTATAAAGGGTGACAGCATGTGTGTAAATATGTGGGAATTTGGAGAGCGTGTTCTCCAAGAGCACCTCTGCAGCACGTTCCTGGTCTGAAGCAATCTGAATTTGCTAAACTACCTAACACAATGCAAGAAGCAACTAGTTGGTGGGACTCCTGGTGGAGTGGGATGAAAACGTACTCTATTGCTCACTTTGATTTATTGACAAGAACATCAACAGGTTTTATTATGTTATGCTACTGGGCATCATTCCTATATAAATATAGAGCATTTAATTATCAGGGCAACTACAGCTTGTGTACAGCTTTCTGTATTTAAAAGATTGAAACTATTTAAATAGGTAACAAGCCCACAACATTTAAAAAGAAAAAAAATAAACTGTTAAACATCGTTAATAGGGTTCTGGAGGTTTTTAATTTAATTTGCTGTGTGTACCATAAAATAAAAACATAATTTTCAGTATGTAACCTGTGATTTATATTTAATTCTCAATTAATTTGATGGTACGTAGCCTCTACACATTTATGTACCATTCATGATGTAGAGGATAGCAAAAACCCTCAATCATTTAAAGTTATTTTTAAACAACACTCAAGGCATGAAAAAAGTCACAAACATTACCCTTATATAGTCCCAAAAATATTTGTCTTAAAAGACCTTTAAAATATTTAGTTGGCAAAGTTTGAATTTTATGGACTCTTATTACTGCTGAAATAGTTTTGAGGAATGGCATTCTGAAAGATTATGTTAAGAAGCAAAGATTTTGTGTATGTATGATCTGTATATTGTTGATCATTTGGAAAGGATAGCTGGATTCTAGAACTGCTATGAAACTATTTTAGGGCAGACTCTTAGCTGGTTTAGACTGATACATCTCCACTGAAGACAATTTACAGCAACAGAGAATCTACTCCTGTGTTCTGGCCCTTGCCTCTTCAGTCAGTATTTAAATCGCTATATTCACGTGCAATACACATCCAAATTAATGTTTAACATGAATATTTGCAAGCATATATTTGTGTGTGCATATACTTAGTCATTTAATCACTTGTGAGTTTCTGACCATGGAATGCTACTGCGGCTGTCATGCACGTTAGCATAGGCTACTTCTAGATCTCTGTACAAGCAACGAATTCACCAACTAATTGGGGCAGGGTCTTGCTGAAGCCCTTGTTTTCATGCAGTTCTGAAGCCCAGGGAATGAATGCTGTTGCTGTTTGCT